TCTGCTTGCTCTCTCTCCTCTCTTCCCCTTTCCCCTTCCTCTGTTTCCTGTTTCTTCCCATTTCTCTCTCTCCTTGCCCTCTCCCCTCCCCTTTTTCTTCCTCTCTATTGCCCCATTCCTTCTCTTCCTCCTCTCTCCTTTTCTCCCCCTCCTCTTTCTCCTGCCTCTTCCTGTTTGTTCTCCTCTTTCCCTCCCTCCCATTTCCTCCCAGTTCTCTCTTCTCTTTTCTTTCTCCCCCTCCTCTCTCTCTCCCCATTCTCTTCTTCTCTGTCTTCCTTTCCCCTTTCTCCCCACCTCCTCCCCCTCCTACCTCTCTCACACAGAAAAAAGAATATTGACCTAAATACATGTGATTTCACTGGCATGGTTTTCCCTGCATTGAAATAGATTACACCTTCTTCATACCTCAGGAGATGTCTTCAGGAGCTGCTCTGGCTGGGAAAGATGTCCTCATCAACTGGGTCACCAATCCTCTGCTTACAAAGCATCTCACATTTAGCTGGTCCTTGTGTGACAAAGAGCCTGTATTCAAGGCTTTTCAAGACTGCAATCAACTGGCATAGTCTTCATGAACTCAAGGTCACTGACCTGCCACACTTGAGTCATTGGAATAGGACTTCAGGGGAGGAAGTCTCTTCTGAACCTGACTGTAAATAAATTGCTTTGGGCCTTTCTACTTTCGCCCAGAATCAGCTGTTTTAGGTAAAGTCATGATGTTTAAGGGTGGGTGCCCAGATGGGAGTGAAGCTTATCAGGAGAGTTTCTAGATAAATTGATGAACTTACCAGGAGGTACACGGGCAACATCTACATTGATGATCTTCACCAGTATCTTCCTTGACTTAATTCTCAGGTCCAATCCCTACCAGGAGTTGAGTCTTGAGTGGACCTTTGAGTCTCCCTATAGACTATGGACCGGCCCAATGGCACCTTGTCAAAAACCAAAACAAAACTACAGACAATCGTAAGTAAAGTTTCGTGAACGGGGCTATCCCAAGACAACCTGCTTGGTTTGTAGCTGCCCCTCGGTGCCTCCTAAGACAATGGCTTTAAATGACTAGGGCTGCCCCCCAAGATGAGTTGGCCGTAGGATCTTAGGTGTAGAGTTATAAGGACCCTTAGAAGTTATTTGGTCCAACTCCCTCATTTTACAGATGAGGAAACTGAGGCCCAGAAAAGTTAAGTGACTCATCTAAGCTTACACAAGTAATAAATGGCAAAGCCAGAATTTGTTCCAAGGTCCCCAGTTCCAAACTAAGTCATCTTTCCATGGCACCACTTGCCCAGGTAGTAAGTGGAAGAGCTAGGAATTCAACTCAGTTCCTCTAACTCCACTGTACCATATTCCTTCCTTGATTTAGGTTTTTAGGAATACAAACTTTTGTGAAAAGATCCATCCTTTGTGATGGTCCATAATAGAGAACTGATGCCCTATTTGTCTTCTTCTGGATGGGTTTCAGTGACTGAGGCTATATCCCTCAGATGATTTGGCTGGTTCAGAGATACTTGCAAAGGTAGACACAATTACGTAGCTGACAGACATTTATTAAGCACCTACTGCATGTCAGGTACTCTGTAAAACACTGGAGATAAAAAGACAAAAGTGAAATAGTCCCTACTGTTGAGGAACTTACATTCTGGCTGGGGAGGCTACATGTACATGTATAAGTATATACAGGATATATACACAATAGAGACAAAATTCTTTTGTGTGGGAGAGCACTAGAAGCTAGGAGGACCAGGAAAAACTATACAGAAGATGAAGGAAATCAGGAAATCCAAGAGGGAGGGAGAGAGGGAGAGATGGAGAGAGGGAGAGACACAGAGAGACAGAAACAGAGAGAGGAGATAGAAACAGAGACAGAGGCAGGAGACAGAGGTGGGGCAGGGGGAGAGAGGAGAGAGACAGAGACAGAGAGAGAAAGAGACAGAGACAGAGAGAAAGAGACAGAGAGACAGAGACAGAGTCAGACAAAGAGTCAGAGCCAGAGAACCAGAGAGACAGAGACAGAGAGCATTCCAGGTAGGGGGAGACAGGCATTACAAAGTCACAGAGATGTGAGATGGAGTGTTGTGTATGAAAAAGTCAGTAGGCAATTATGACTACACCATAGAGTGCATGGAGAATAATTGGAAAGAGGACTGGAAAGGTAGAAACGGACCAAGTTGTGAAGAGTTTTAAAAGCCAGGCAATTTGTAGTTGTTCTCGGAGGTAATAGAGAGTCACTGGAATTGAATAAGGGAGGGACATGATGTAACATGTGCTTTAGCAAAATCACTTATGGATTGGGGGAGAGGGAAGCACTCCACTCTGAAAGCTCAAATAGGAGGCTATTCTACTAGTCTAGGCTGAGAGGTGATGAGGTTCTGAAATAGGGTGGTGGTATTATTAGGAAACAAATGTGAAAGATGCAAAAAGATAAAAACAGCAAGACTTAGCAATTGATTGGATATGAGCAATGAGAGTAGGTGAGGATGTTATTGAGGTTGTGAATTTGGGTGACTGGAGGGGTGGTAGTGTCCTCCACGGAAAGAGGAAATGTTACGAAGAATGGGTTTGGGGGAAGATTTAATATATTCCATTATAGGCATATTCAATTTGGAATTGCTATGAGACATCCAATTCAAAATGTCCAATAGGCAAGGCTGGAGCTCAGAAGAGCCCAGGGCTGAAGATATGCATCTGGACATAATCTGTATAGAGATGATACTTGAACCAATGAGAGCTAGTGAGATCACCAAATGAGAGAGGATAGAAAGCAAAGAGGGAACATGACAGAACATTGAGTGACACCCAAGTTGGTAGAGATGACATGGATTTAGCAAAGGAGAATAAGGAGGGACAGTCAGACAGGTAGGAGAACCAGTAGAGAGCAGTTTCATGAAAACCTGGAGAAGAGACATCATCTAGGAAAAGAGGGTGATCAACTACAGAGAAGGCTGAAGATTGAGGAGCCATCAGACTTAGTAATAAAGAAATCCTCACTACCAGTGGAAAAAAGAGTTTTAGTTGAATGATGAGGTCAGAGCTAGATTGCAGACAGTTTAGAAGGAAAAAAAAGTAAGAAAGGAAATGAAGGCACCAAATGCAGAGAGCTTTTACAAGTTTGGCTGAGGAGAAATTAATATAATACGATAAATATAATATGATATGATATGATATAATGTAATATGATTTTGATATAATATGATATAAATGATAGTGGGGTGATAGGATCTAGTGAGTGTTTTTAAAGGATAGGAGATTCTTAGGCATGTTTATAGGTAGCCAAGAAGAAACTAGTAGTTATCATGAGATTGTAGATAGGAGGAAGGATAGTGGGGGTAATATTTTAAGAAGAAAGGGGATAGGATCAAGGCTGTTGTCATCTCTCGAGCGAGGAAATACCACTGTCAGGTTCCTGTTCTCTGATTAGCAGACAGATAATTAAAAAGAAAGATAAAAGCAACTAGGAATGCTGAACTTAGCCTGTGTGGGTGAACATATATATCTCCAAGTAGTTCCAGAAAAATGGAATAAGAGATCACAAGGGAACTTCTCTCCTCAATACCCCTCTTCAAAAATGGAAATGAAATTCCTCCCCCTACCCCTCAATGGAGTCACAGGGCAGCCGATGGATAGTCATTTCCAGGAAAGGTAGTAGTGCTCTGATTACTGTGCCCAGAGAGAGTAGAAAGGAAGGGGGTGGGGGGTGTACACCTATGGTGACAAGGTAGGAAGATGGCCAGAGAATGGTACGTTGGGTCTGGAATGGCAAACATATGGTGAATTTTCACCAGTCAGAATCCCAGGGTCTCGGGGCAGGAACTGCAGGGCCAGCTCAATCGAAAGTGGAGGCTAAGGGTGGACTTTGGCAATGCATTAGGAAGCTAGCCCCAAACACCCACCCCTTCATCTGGGCTTACATACCTTGTTTGGTTCTCCTCTTCACCAACATTGCTTTAAAAAAAGGAAACAACTGAAAAGGACCTTTTCAGTTGTTATCAGTCTTGAGCATTTCTACAGGAGTTTGCCACTTCTATACTCATCCTCAGTACCCTGCCCTTATTTCCTACATCTTCTGTATATGTTTTTTAAAAAATCTAATTTAGACCCCCAAAGTATTCTCAGGAGGTATAACAAATCCAAGTCACAAATAAGTCATGAGGTGTCCATTAAGGAAAAGGAATTAGACGCAGCTACTCCTTTTTACCATTTGTGGATGAAAGTCTTTGGTTTAACAACAGTTTACTCCAGAATAGTACTAGTAGCAGCTATAGTGAACTGTAGACAGAACACCATTTTTCTGATTGTGAAATCATCATAATATTATTCACAAATTGAAGGGGTCAAACAGGTTTTGGTGGAATTACTTTTACAGGAGCAAAACTGAGGCATGGGTTCACATTTGAATTACTCTAATGTGGTCAAAGGTGTATACATTACACCCCACAGGAGGAAAGATTGGGACAAGGGACACATCTTATATTACCAACATTCGAGTGCAAACATAATACAGTGCTACCTCCCAATCAGCTTATATTCTTGGTGAGGAGGGAGATGTCAGTGCCTCCCTATCGTTAAATAAATCCTTATCTTCACCAGGAACAAGTTATAATTTGAATCAGGTTTTCACCAGCTTTTATAACTGGTTTGAGTTTCTGTGCTCACAGACACCAGTGAATGCTCCTTTGTTACAAAAAGCAGCCATGGCAGGGCTCAGAAACTAAGCATCTAACCCTGAGGAGGCCAGCACTTAACACCACACACATAATATACTTCTTGTTAGAATATGCAAAAAGCTTTTATTGAATGAACAACTGGTCAGAGGGTGACACCATGCCACACAGTATTTAGCCAACATCAGTTCCATCACCCACACCACCTGTTTTCCCTAGAATTCTGTCTACATTTTAAAATCATTCATTCAGTGAATGTTAGAAAAAAAGAATTAAGGAGTGGCAAACCTAATTTGTTGCACTTTTTGTTTTATGCCCCAGAGGGGAAAAAAACTACACAGATGCTGGTACAAAGACAGTGTCTTTAATGGAAAGAAAGGGTTTATGTTCCATATGCCCATACCACTGACAAATCACTAACATTTGCTACTGGGCATTTCAGAGCGATAATCATTTTCATTGTCCGCAATCCACAAGGTTTCATTAGTACAAATCAATCACGAATAATATCTTATTTCTAAATATTAACCCATTTATAACATTTCCTGCTTTTATGTCTCCAATCATCAGGAAGAATTAAATATTTCTAAGACTCTCTATGTGGCATCTATTAATTATAAACAACTCCCAAGTGAATCCTATTATCTTGATTAGAAACAATACTTGAAAAAGCTGCCTGCTGGGAATAAATTTATGGCAGTTACAAGTGAACGATGTCTTTATTTTTCTGACTACATCTGACAAAATCTCAACAATTTACCCATATCACCAAAAACCATTATATGACAAAATGCACACTGCACAGAGACAGCTAGTGAAGTAAAAGATATTCATGCTCCTGAAAGGTCCTGCCTTGACTTAAAAATGACCCCCTGTGTTGTGTCATGAAATATATCTTTAAAATTCCAAAAAAGAAGGAAAGGCTTTCCACTTGATTCAGGCAAACATAACCTAAGGCAATGGTCATTTCTGTATGTTTGTGAATGATTCGTTTTTTGGATTTTTTTTTTTTAAGTAGACAAGTATATTCTGGAGGCAAAACAGACACTAATCATCTAAGTCCAATGTATCTTGAAGTGCTTTTGTCTCCTCTGGGTGGGTGTGGTCATGGTAGAAATAAGATTACAGTTTATTAATGCTTTTGGCAAAGAAGTTTTAAGCATTTGCTTTAGGACAAAACTCTCTATGTCAAAATAAAGTTAGTTACAAATGGCTCAAAATAGTTAAAGGAAAAAATGGGGAAATTAACATGGGTGGAAGTATGGGATGGAAGACAAAGATGAATGGAAAATAACTGTTTCTAATTTCTGTATTTGGAGAATAGAGAATGTTAAGTATCCTAGAATGTATTAGAACTCTCTTTGTTAACTTTCATCAGTTCAACCATTTACTTGAAATAATATATATCCATCTGTTATCCTGAATATATCACCACTACTGCTTTGAAAACATTCAGATCTTAAATTCCAAGTGTTTATTGTCACATCTATGATGTGGAACCCAGAATGGATTACTTTCACTTTTATATTAAAATTACTCATGGAGAATCGTCATAAGGAATGCTACAACATACTCTTCCATCTTAGACCTGAAACATGAAGACTGCTGATATCAATGCCTGTACCAGCATTTGCATAAGAGGCTATTTAGAGATATCAAAAGGTAAATTCTACCCTTTGAGTTCTGTCTGGGCATATTCTGCTCTCAGAGTTTCTCACATCGCTATCACACTATGAAAACAAACAAGCAAATGAGACGAGATGCTTACAAAGCACTTCATACAAACATTATCTCATTTGGTCCTCATAACAAGTCTGTGAGATAGGAACCACAAACATTATAAAACCCATTTTACAGATGAGGAAATTAAAGTTCAAAAAGTTTAAGGATAGCTGGGAAGGAACAGGGACAGAATATGAACCCAGCTCTTCCTAACCCTAAGTCCAGTATGTGATCCACATCCTTGGAAACAAATTAGATACTCTTTGGGATCATTAATTCATAAGTTGCTACTAGAGTCACATGACATATAAGGCTAACAATAAAGGTAATATTGCTCTCAAATTATCATCTGTACACTTGGGGTATCTATATGAATAACTCAAATGATAATAATTATTTTGAACAATACAAACATTGGACAAAGCTGAAATTACAAAAATGCAAATTTTAAAAATACAAACAGCACATGGGAAGGAACTTTCCTAAAATGCATAAATGGGAGTCTGGAGAATAAAGTAATAATCGATTTACATTTGACATTAGTAAGATGCTTGACGCATTCACGCTGGGGCTTTAGAGCTAAAGAGTGTTAATATCAGGAATTTGGAAAGGATCTAGAGAAAAGTCTCAAAGAGTAGAATCCTGACAATACTCAAGTGTTTAGAAAATACCTTTGAGGAATAGGAACTCTATGGCCCGAGAAGAGGAAACTGAGAAGAGACTTAATAATGACATTCAGGTGTATGAAGAATTTTCAAGGCATACTCTCCAAATATTTTTCATGTCTGCTAATAATCAGGTAAGGAAAATTAAGGTTAAGTTAAACCACTAGAAATTAGGTTACATAACATATTATGTCTTAGTAAGGAGGGATGCTGCATAGATTGTATAGAAAATTGCTCAATTTTTGTTTCCAAAAATCTTTAAAAAAAAAAAAACAAAAAAACACGGTTATTACATTTCAGTGATGGTCTAACTCTCACACTAGATTCCTACCAGGTCATTCTTCCTCTACTCTTTCCTCCCTCCAAACTATTCTTCACATCTTTGTCAGCATTATCTTCCCAATGTAAAGCTCTTGCCCAGTTATTCCTCTGCTCAAAATGTTTCGATGGGTTCCTATGGCTCACTAAGGAACATTCTACCTCGTACCACTGGCAATCAAATTTGGTGCACGATTTGGTGCTACCACGTCTTTCCATACATATCCCTGCCAGTGTTCCAACCAGACTGAATTCAGTTTCCTCTAGTCAGGCTCAACACTTTCTCACCTCTCTATTTGGGCTAAGCTCTTCCCTGTGCCTAGACTGCCACCCCACAGCATACAGCATACACCTTGTTCAGTCTCTAACTATCCCTTAAACGCCAAGTCAACTATAGTTACCTCAAGAAGTGTTCGTTGATCTCGGCGATCAGTCATGGCTAGTCTTTTCGAAAATGTTATGTAACAATATGCTTATATCTTTCTGATGAATTTATGATGTATTATTTTATAGTTATTTGTGTTTTGCATCACACCCACACCCCACAGTAATAACAACCTAACATTTAGAGAGAGTCTGAATGATCCTAAAACACTTTCTTTTCAGCAACCCTATGAGTAACTAATGAAAGCAGATTTAGTCCCATCTTATGGGTAAGAAAACTGAGGCTCAGAGAGGTAAGGAGATCGATCCAGGTTCATGAATCTGTCAGAGCTGGAACCTTGAGCACTGATTTGTTGACTTCAAGGTCAGAGCTCTTTCTACTACTACACTACATTATTCTCCTAGGTTGCAAGCTCCATGAGGGCAGGAGTTCTACCCTCTTCTATAAACTTTACATCTCCCCTATTTTTTAACACATAGCTGGAGTTTAATAGACGTTTATTGAACTGAATAGGTTAGATGTGGCCTTATCTGATAGTCTAGAGGACTACTCAATTTTTCTTTAATTGTAGTAGAAAGAGAAATGGACTAAGAGTCTGAAAACCTGGAACCTGGACCTTGATCTACTTATTCACTAGCTGTGTGACCTTGGGCAAATCATTTCAAGTGAGCCAGTTTCCTCATCTTTAAAATGGTGGTAATGTCTGCCCTATATAATCTTCTTGTGAGAATCACATGAGATGATGAGTATAAAGCACTCTGTGTTCTGTATGTGTATGTGACATAAGTGTAAAGTATTATTAGTATAAACTTGCACCCAGAGGTCCTCAGATACTGTCAGAATTTAGTGTGAGACAGAGGACAGATGCAGGCTAAATGAGGCCTTCACCTGTTTTGGGATTGACATTTTAATCCACTCTGAAAAGAGAACAATAGTCTTTACCAGCACCTAGTTAACACGTTAAATATAGTATTCTACATTCATGCAAAGAAACAGAGCCATGATATCCATGGGTTTCCTTTTATGCACAGGAATAGCTAATGGTTCAAAACATGTTGTTTCCAAGCTTTCCCCATAGAATCAAAATAACAACAAAAAGTTTGTATTTTGAGTAAATATGAAAAGAGAGAACAATTTGGAAGTCCAGTGTTTATTTGTATACTGCCTATCTCAAGACGTGAAAAAGTGAAGCTTCATGAGGGAGGCAGCAACTGTTGCCTGAACTTGTCTGTTGTGGCCCTTGCGGATGAAGGTTGATTGGATACTTCCATCACTTCTTAATGAAATGCCATGTGTGGGTATCTTCATCTGTGGAGAAGAAGATGAGAAAGAGAAAGAGAGAGACAGAGAGAGAGAGAAAGAGAAAGAGAGAGAGAACGAAAGTGCACTCTAGTTCAGTTTCACCCAACAAACATAGACTGTCTACTACATTCTAGGCATTGAGAATACAAAGACTAAAAATAAATAGTCCCTGACTTCAGGGAGTTTATATTCTACCAGAATGTTAAGACAGATGCAAAAAATATAAACATGGAACCTTCTCAATTTTATGTTTAAACTTCCTTTTCCTTCCCATCTCCATGGCAAAACACAAGTTTTTAGTTTCTCACATTTTCACAAAATTTAAGTCAAGCCACATCAGGAAAGCAAAAGCTTCCATATTTTGTCTGCTGACCTTTCCAGACTATAATATCGTTACCCAGTGAGAGCCCTAAAGTTACCATTGAAACATTGGCATGAAAGGATTAGAAAGGCTGCGACTGCCTGTCAAATAACCCAAATGGGCTACTTTTATAGAGCAGCTATTTTGTTAGCACACCATATAAGGACCACTGCTTGCTTTCCCATGAAATCATGTCTATGGATGCGTTCCTTTATAAACATCTTGGAACCCATGGTAAGTAGTTCTCATTTTTTACAATTTGCAAGTTGCAGGTCATTCCCACATCTTATAGGAGCTAATGAACTAATGTGTGTGAAATCATTTAATACCTGTAAAATATTATAACACATATTAAGCATTACATAAATGTAAAGTATTATTATTACTAAGTAATAATATTCAACAAAAAGCAAAAAATCAGAACTGGTATATATTTTGATAAATGCTGGATGTATAAGCTTATACTTTTCACTTCTTACTAGAAGCTGTATTTCTCAAAATACTTTAAACACAATATTTTTCCAAAGAAAATATAAAAAAAAAATTTCAAAATCCAAAATAGGCTTTGGTCCTTCAGTTAAAACTACTTTGTTGGTGACTTGTAGAAAAAACAAGGAAGACAAAAAAAATTTCCCCAGAGGACTGGTTATAAACTTAAATTCATTATAATTTACTAAAACTTGTCAGTGCTTGGAAACAAAAGTCATGATATAATGCAAGCATTATTTCCTTGCTCAAAAACAATATATGTATCTTATGGTGTTTTTTTTTAAATGAAGGACAATGATTAAGATACTTCATCTAGACAATTTCACAAATATCTTACAGCTCATTATGCTTAGCCTCTAGAAACTTTTGAATGAATGGTTTTTGTTTTTTGCTTCCACAAGTGCAAACAATTAAGTATGGGGAGGCCCTCTGGATAACATACCTTCTTTGGAATTTAAATCTTCATTTGTTGCAGTCGATGCCTATGAGGTAAAAACAAAGAGCCTATTTTTAGTGAAGACTTTCCACATGGAATCCAGAACTAGGGCTATTTTATTGGAAAACTGTCTAACAGATAGTACGAGCACATTTCCCTGACTCAAGAAAGAGGATTCTATTCCCCACCATTCTACTCTGCTTAAGAAATTCTCATTCTCCTAGAACAAGGGTTCTTAATCTAGGGTCTGTGAACTTTGTTTGTTTGTTTTTTTTTTTCATTCTGATGACTGTACTTCAATAAAATTGGTTTCTTTTGCAATTCTTTGTATTTTATGCACTTTAAAACATTATTCAGAAGGGTTTCATAGGCTTGACCAGATTGCCAAACATACAAAAAGGTTCAGAATCCCTACACTACAGGCATTATGATGACTGATCAAGAGATTTACATTAAAAATAAAAAGTTTAGGAAGTTTCGTTCTAATTTGTCACAAGGAGTAACTAAGGTGTTTGCTTCTGAGCACTGGACACAAATGGCTCTTTTTTCTCCCTGTTCAGTTGCTTCATCTGGTGAGGCACTTGAAAAACTAATGAAGTTCACAAAGCGAGGTCATTTACATAGGCAATTTCTAGGAAATGTTTTCAGATGCTGGGACCAGCCAAGGTTCTCAGAGCTAATTTAATCTGGTCCAGGAGAGGCAAGTATAAGCACAGAAAAGTTTCCTGAGAGGATTTTTTTCCCCCTACTTAAGTCTCTTGCATAAAAAGGACTCTTTCATTGAGCAGAGCAGCACATATTCCTAGTTGTCTCATCCTGCTGACCCCCAATTGAGAGTGACTCAGCAAGAAGGACAAGGCTAGCCAATGTCAGCATCATTTAAAAAAAAAAAAAAAAGATGCATCTAAATCAGGAGACTTTTCAAAGCCCCCCCCGCCCTTTTCCACTGTTTCTTTGAAGAAACAGACGATTCAGGTAAGGCCTGGTTTTTGTTCTTTCTTCTTAAATCATGCTACAGGGAAGAACGTGACTGTAAGCAAAGAAAAAAAAAAAGCTCACTCCACAAATTATGTGTAATTCATCTTGGAGGTTTTCCCAGGGCTCACAAGAGAAGCAGCTTTATTAAGCTTCCTTGTAGAGCAAGTTGGCCATTTGGGGGACTAATGTCAAAGAGGCTCATGGCTGTCCTTAATTTTGCAGATGGCAGCATTCAAAAATACAAGTGAAATAAACATCCTGTTATATGCCAGTCACTAACAGAGGCTGGAGTCACAGCGGAACTTATCTAACTTGGCCTGCTCCCTCCTCCTTTTTAACTAGGGGCAAGAAGAGCAGAACAAACCATATTAAGATTGTTTTGATCTCAGAGGCATGGTGCTGGGAATCCTGCCATACCAGGCCTTTTAGATAGCCATAGGGGAATTAGGGGATTCCTCTATAGTTGGGACTCTCAGGCCTGGGCAGAAGCTCACATGCCTGGCTGGGAATCACACGCCAACTCGGAATTCCCATGTGGTAAGGGTTATTTCAGGCCACAAACAACAAATGTTCATTCAGCCTTCCACATGCACCGAGAGGGCCACGGGGTCCATGTGCAAAATTTCCAGTGGGCATGAAACTCACTACCTCAGCCACGATGAAAGTACTGGAAATGATGGAAGAACTGTTCATCTAATACCGTTTTTCTGTTGAAACAACCAATGACTTTTAAAAATAGCACTTTTCATAAACAATGGTGCTGATCCAGTGAGATCAGATTCAAAAGGACTCGTTATTCCGTAACCCACTGGAATAATGTGGGGTGTTCCATATGGTTCTGTTTTTATCTTCCAGGGAAGAGAGAAGGGTTTAAAAATGAGTATAAGACCATCAAGGTATGCAATGGGAGTTTAAAGGAAATAACAAAGAAATTCTGTAAGGATAGGATAAAAAGGAATGTCCATATAATGTGAACTGGTATGCTGGATAACTCATTGAATGCAGGGATTGTTTCCTTTTTGCTTTCGTAAACTCAGCACCTAACTTAGTGCCTTAAACTTAGTTGGTACCTGATAAATGTGTGTTGATTGAGTGAATTATTTATTTCCCCCAAAGTAAATTCTACAGGAGAATTTAATTTCTCTGACTACAGGTCCAACTGTAACATCTCAATTTGCAAGTTTAGACATATTCAACACATAATTACTAAACTTGATGCCTTCTATTCATTTCCTATAACATGAAAGCTTACATTTTAAAACTTTGAAAAGAAAACAGCTTAACTTTTCAATCTTTTAAGCTTTGACAAGGGAATTACACTGGGAATTTTGCGTTCTGAGGTATTTCAAAGTCTCTTGAAAAAAGGTATTTCTAAATCTCTTAGTGGGTGGTGTCAAGGGATTTGAAATAAGTGAATGAGGAGAAAAGTTTAGAGAAAGTTTTTCTTCCCAGTTCTACTTCTCCTAAAAACCCTAAGAATTCTCAAGCATAAAATGTGCAAAGAGAAAAGAACAGTTTTGAAGTGGTGTTTTGGGTGGGGAAGTCCTGTACTCAAATCAATTCAATAAAAATTTATTTTGCACCTACTATGTGAAAAGTTACTGAGGACACAAAAATGAAAAATGAAGGACTCTTTCTCCAAAGGAGCTTATAACTTAGTGGCAGTGAAACAAATATACAAGTCACTATAACACAAATTAGAATTAGAAAAGTATAAAAAAGAGGTCTAACAAAGGCAAAACAGATTAAGGAGAGGAAGGTCCAAGGAAAGGACTCACAAAGGAGATGGAACCTGAACTTGGCCTCGAAAAGAAGGGAAGAACTTCAACAGGAGACAGTAGACAAAATGTGCCGACACATGCAAGTGGGAGCCTGGTTTTGCTAAGACATAGGGATATGAAGAGAAGCAAGGATAAGGAAGGTTTGAGGCATATGAATAATAATATATATGAGAGTCAGCAGGGAACTGAGGATCATAAAATAGCCTTAGAGTCAGGAAGACCCGGGTTTAAGTCTCACCTCTGAAATATAATGGTATCTGACACTAGTAAGATAACGTAGGGTATAGGAGTGAGGAGTTAGGAAGATTCAGTCACTGGATGAGTCTCTCAGCCTCAGTTTTGTTGGCCATAAAATGGGGGTAATAACAGCACCTGTGTCACAGGGCTGTTCCGAGGATAAAACGAGGTAACATGTAAAACACTTTGCAAATCTTAGAAAGCTATATGAATGATAATGATGATTATTTCAATTTAACCTCTTAGTGACTCAGGTAACTCACTAAGACATTAAGTCACCAAGCAGGTGCTGATCTGCTTTGGTAGATGGAGTTCCCTCTGCCAGAATTCTCTACACCACTGAAATCACAGACCTAATCTCCCCTCCCCCCCACCCCCACCTCCAGTTAGTACAAATGAACCCAGTGGGCTAAGAACCTCGGCTGCTGGAGAAATACAATTTGAGAAGCTATAGTGGAAACCACATCTGGCCAAACACAGGAAGTAAACAATAATTCTACTAGGAACAGGCAGCTTATGAAGATGAAATCTGGCCAATGGCGCTTTAATAATGAATGCTTACTCTTTTTTGTAGTGACAAAGAACTGAAAACCGAGGAATGGCTGGGGGAATGACTGAACACATTATGGCACATGAAAGCGATGCAATATTATTATGCTATAAGAAATGACGCAGGGTTGGGGCAGCTAGGTGGTGCGGTGAATAGGGCACTGGCCATGAAGTCAGGAGGACCTGAGTTCAAATCCGGCCTCAGACCAAACACTTGACACTTAGTAGCTGTGTGATCCTGGGCAAGTCACTTAACCCCAACTGCCTTAAAAAACAAACAAATAAACAAATGAACAAACAAAAAAGAAATGACGCAGGGTTGGGGCAGCTAGGTGGTGCAGTGGATAGAGCACGGCCCTGAAGTCAGGAGCACCTGAGTTCAAATCCAACCTCAGACCAAATACCTGACACTTACTAGCTGTGTGATCCTGAGCAAGTCACTTAACCCCCAACTGCCTTAAAAAGCAAACAAACAAACAAACAAAAAAGAAAAAAGAAATGACGCAGGGTTGGGGCGGCTAGGTGGTGCAGTGAATAGAGCTCTCTGGCCTTGGAGTCAGGAGGATCTGAATTCAAATGTGACCTCAGACACTCACTAGCTGTATGATCCTGGGCAAGTCACTTAACCCTGATCACCCCACCAAAAAGCAAAACAAAAAACAAAAAAAAGAAAAAAAGGAAAGAAATGATGCAGGGGACGGTTTCGGGAAGACTTGTGGGAAAGCATAAACGAACTGACGCAAAGTGAAATGTGAAGAACCAAGAAAACAATCTACATGGTAACAGCTATATTGTGAAGATAACCAACTGTGAAAGACTCAGTAACTCTGCTCAGCACAATGACCCTACACAATTCCAAAGGACTCATGGAGAAACATGCTATTCACCTCTAGACAGAGGTGATGGACTCAGAGTGCAGACTGAAGCATAATTTTTTCTCTTTCTTGACTTGTTTTTTAACATGGCTAATACAGAAATGCTTTAAATGATCATACATATTTGTAATGGTTTTTATTTTTATTTTTTTATTTTTTGCCTTCTCAATGGGTGACGGAAAGGGAAGGAGGGAAAAAATTTGAAACTAAAAAAAAAGGAACAAAAAACTTCTTTGCTTTAAAAAATAATGTAAAAAACTAATCACCAGAAAAAGTTATTCATTAAGTGTTCATGTGTAAAAAAATAATGAATGCTTAAACGTATACATATATTCATATGTATGAATGTACATACATGTATGTATGTTGTTGTTTAGTCATTTCAATTATGTCCAACTCTTTGTGACCACTTTTGGGGTTTTCTTGGCAAAGATACTGGAGTGGTTTGCCATTTCCTTCTCCAGTTCATTTGATATTGGAGGAAACTGAAGCAAACAGTATAAAGTGATTTGCCCAGGGTCACATAGCTGGTAAGTGTCTGAGGCCAGATTTGAACTCAGGAAGATAAGTCTTCCTGACTCCAGGCCCAGCATGCTATTCACTGCACCAACCAGCTGCCCCCATTA